ATTAAAAGGATTGAAAATATTGTGACAATCGTTAGAAACACTTTGGTTTATTTGGTTATGGTTACGCCACACGTGAGCAATCTGCCTGGATGCAATCCAGAAAGACTTTTATGGGAAGCTAGACTTTGTTTAAATGTTACTGACGTAAAGAAAACCCGGAAAATTCCACGTGGCCATGCTCGAACCCACGACTAACTAACAACCAGAGTTCGGTAGTTTTATGCACTCGGCTACTGGATGAAGCTTATTAGTATTAAGAAAGTGCCTTTCAGAAATGAAAGAAAGAAAAAAACGAGTTGTTAGATGTAAAAAATTAAATAATTATATACTTACTATAGACTTTTCATAGGGTAACTTTCGATTCTAAGCAGGCAAGTGCTATATGCTTCCTGTCTCAGTATCTGTCTATTTCGCGCTATATCATTGTCGCAGTAATTAAGTGAATATAATATATATTTTTAAAAATTATAACTTTTTCTGTAAGAATTATATTTAGTTTATTATCAAATTTGGCACGAATATTCTTTGACATCCTAGAAATGTAACTTTATTTGTTCTCTTTCGGTTATCGTATTTCAAACCTGTAGATTTACACTGTCGTCTGTATGGCTGTCTGTCCTTCGTGAATCTATAGAACGGAGTTAGATAAATATCGAGATCAGATATGAAAAGCTTAGGAGACAGATTAACTATATACAAACTTCCGTCTGGACCTATTGTATTGTGACTTTTTTAATTAACACATAATTAATTATTACTGCCTTACGATATCACAATAAATAATTGATAAATTTAATACAGAATTCTAGTAATTAAATAGTATAATTAATAACAATACATTTATAAATCAAAACAAGAATTACACGAATTTGATAAAAATAAAAATTTAGCAATGAGTTGTATAACTTTCTCAGAAAGAAAGAAAGTTAAAATTGTGTGTGGCAACATATGTTACGAAAGATATCAAAAAATTTAATTGAATTTTATATGAAAAAATAATTGTAAATACTAATAACGAGTAAAATCACTTAAGTCCGACCCCGCTCGAGATATGACACATGTCACTTCCCTCTATTTCTCCACTCCCTCGACCTTTAACCATCAAAAATTAACAGGATCTATGCCACTAATACTCAAATCAACCTGCAAAATTTTAAAAAATTTTGACAAAAGACACAAGAGTTATTAAGCTCCTAAGTGGGTTCACCTACACATAAACTAACATTCATACATATAGAAAACTTCCGGAATTATTTTTTGCATTTCTCGAAGATTCAAGGTCCTTTGAGTCCAAAATTGGGGTTATTTTTTGACCGTCGCCATCCCCTCTGTTATATATAACAGCGAAAAAGTAATATCTGTAAGCTTTCTTATTAATTAGAGTCACGTTATTATTAAATATAAAATTTACATAAACTTTCGTATCAACGCCTAGAAAAAAATAAAGGTAACGATTAAAATTCATGCATCGAAAGGCCATGGAATGGTAATTTTAAAATTTAGAATTTAAAAACCTATTTTTAAATAACATCCTTTTGCTATTGTTTATAATTAATTATAATAAAATAACAGATACACCAGGCATATAAACGTAACAACTATGCATTAAAATTCTGTATTAATTAATAAATATAAGGAAGAATGAAGCAATAAATTATTTAATAATGATGTAACCTGGATAAACAATAATAATTTCTTTTAATTCGTAATACAGAATTATTAAAACATAATAAAAATTTAAAGGAATTATTATGTTAATGTGTTATATGACCCGATATCCTACAAATAAAATGTCAAAAATGGGACAAGTAAGTAAACTCACGAGAAAGTAAGCCAAGTTGTAGCTTCACATAGGCCTATAATGTTTCATAATGAATAAATAAATAATTAAATTTAAAAAAAAATAACACAAGGCTATTTTAATTCCCTTATTGCAAACTTATTACAAAAAATGGGTCATTGTCAGCCTGTTTTGATTAAAAACAAATATTTTGAATGTTATTTTAAATTAATAAAAATAAATTATAATTAGAAAAATTAATAATTTCTTATTTTTTATGTTATGAATAATTTATATACCATATAGAATTTTTTTTAAAAATAACTTTCTATATTCAATATATACAGAACCTACTTCAGAGAACTTTGAACTATATTCACACAGGGCCTCACGCGTTTAGATCTTAGAAGGGCTTTACATTTAAAAGACCTTAAAAGGGCCTCGCAGGTGGTTAGTGTTTTGACTCTTGGTAATGTAAAAGGCCCCACATTTATAATTTTCAATATGCCTCATAAAATATGGAGAATCATTATAGTCTCTCTAAATGTTCTCTCTTACAGATTCAAATTAATATTCTTTATTCTGAAGATTATACTAATATTGGCTTATTATTATTATTATTATTATATACAGAATGGCTCAAAAATCAGTTAACTAAGGTATATTTTAAGAAGAAATTTGTCATTAACTCAACTCCGTTCTTAGAATAACTATATATCATGGTTAACTGATTTTCTGGCCACATTGTATTTTGATATATAACATTTAAAAAAAGGTATTTTATACGGGAATTATCCCCGTATAAAATACCTTTTAGTTTTATATTTTATTATTAGCCTATATATACAGTTGATCCCCCTATAACACTGTTGATAATTCCATGTTATATGAATTCCATGTTGTACGAGTCACTTAGATTTTACAAATACGTATGCCGGGATGTGAACAGCTCACGTATTTGTAAAATTTATGTGACTCGTATAACATAGAATTATCGACAGTGTTATAGGGGGGATCTACTGTAGTCTCATGTATTTATTTACTTAATTTTTATTTAAATTAAATTATTTACATTCAGTAATGGTTTCTATTTCTATCAATTCTAATGGATGATTCCTGGCATGCTAAATGATTTACATATATTATGATTATTAAACCTGTATTTAGCATTTATAATTGTTTCTAACCGAGAATAAACTGTCTCGTTTAAACTAGTTTTAAATAAAACTGCTTTTTTTATATTAAAATATTACATTAGTAATTACAGACGAGATTGCAAAGTCGCTTTTAATGTTTTAATTAGGGGAGAGTAAATAAGAATAAACTTTCTACACTGTAAAATATTCGCTTGGTTTTAAATATAGTTTATTTAATATTTATTCTTTTTACTCCTTCTATTCTGTAGGTATTAAGGGGCCCCACCAGTAACCAAGCGGGTTCCGATCCCTGAACACTGGGAGTTCGGTCGTGGGCCTTTCCAAGACGTGAAGTTTCTCGGGTTTTCTCTACGTCTGTAACTCCCGAATAGGGAACAATTACCCTTAGAAAGTAATATCGTCTGTAACAAAATATATGTAGAACGAAGTTAAGTTATTTTACACCTATTATGAAACGATAAAAAAAAGGTTTATAGAGAAATTTATAAAACACATTTAAAAATTATTAGATCGATTAATATACATTACTAATAGAATAATTTATTGATTCGGATTACAGATTATGTTTTATTATGAGATTACAACATATTTTTTAAGGTAAACTTAAATTTATTATGTGCAATTTTTTTTAAAATTATTTTACGCAATTTAGTTAACACTTCCCTTAATTTTTCCTCTATACTTACTCCAAAACTTTAAATATTCTATTTATTTAATTATTTGTTTATTTTTTTTTTAATTACGGGAAAGTACCTTGAAGCGTGAAGTGCCATTCTCTCTCTCTCTTCTTTTTTTTACAATACAAAAAAAATGAAGGTTAAATATTGTACAACTTTCGCTTTTATATATTATTTGATTGACGAGTTCTTGAACATGTTTTTTAAAATAATTTTACAATTATTTTTTATAATATATTGATACATAATTAATGCCTCCATACTTAAGTGTAACTTTTACGAGCATAAACAGTAACAATAACAGAGACAAAGACAATGGAAATCAACGAATGAATAGTAGCAAATGAATAACAATATATATTAAGTTTAAATCATAGAAATTAATGCAATATATAATTAAATTTATAATTAATATATTAATAGAATACTATCATTTTCCATCATTCCGTTACGTATGTAAATATCTAGGTCTACAGTTATGATAATTAATTTAGAGATACATTAAAATATTTGTTAAAATATAAGTAAAACCTACCGTATTAGATGCTAATCAAATATTTTCTGTAACGTTTTTAAAATTTACAGTCAATTTTACATAACTAGGTGGCAAGCGATTGGTTGCTTTTATAATCACTCACTTGGCTCCGTCCCAGATCTTAAAAGTTTCTTCATCCTCCGCTTTAAATATTTAGCAAGTAATATTTACTGATAATTAATCATAACATTGTAGTAGTTCCTTAATAAGAAAGCGAATAAAATAATTATTTTTTTAAAAATTAACTTTAAATGGAGTAGGTTAATTTTTATATTATTTATAACACTACGCTTGGTTACAGTTAATTTATAAAATAATCCTATTTTTGAATGTAAGTAACAAAAATTAATAATTAACAAATTTTTTTTTTTACTATTTTTATCTTTAAATTTANTGAAGCGTGAAGTGCCATTCTCTCTCTCTCTTCTTTTTTTTACAATACAAAAAAAATGAAGGTTAAATATTGTACAACTTTCGCTTTTATATATTATTTGATTGACGAGTTCTTGAACATGTTTTTTAAAATAATTTTACAATTATTTTTTATAATATATTGATACATAATTAATGCCTCCATACTTAAGTGTAACTTTTACGAGCATAAACAGTAACAATAACAGAGACAAAGACAATGGAAATCAACGAATGAATAGTAGCAAATGAATAACAATATATATTAAGTTTAAATCATAGAAATTAATGCAATATATAATTAAATTTATAAGTAATATATTAATAGAATACTATCATTTTCCATCATTCCGTTACGTATGTAAATATCTAGGTCTACAGTTATGATAATTAATTTAGAGATACATTAAAATATTTGTTAAAATATAAGTAAAACCTACCGTATTAGATGCTAATCAAATATTTTCTGTAACGTTTTTAAAATTTACAGTCAATTTTACATAACTAGGTGGCAAGCGATTGGTTGCTTTTATAATCACTCACTTGGCTCCGTCCCAGATCTTAAAAGTTTCTTCATCCTCCGCTTTAAATATTTAGCAAGTAATATTTACTGATAATTAATCATAACATTGTAGTAGTTCCTTAATAAGAAAGCGAATAAAATAATTATTTTTTTAAAAATTAACTTTAAATGGAGTAGGTTAATTTTTATATTATTTATAACACTACGCTTGGTTACAGTTAATTTATAAAATAATCCTATTTTTGAATGTAAGTAACAAAAATTAATAATTAACAAATTTTTTTTTTTACTATTTTTATCTTTAAATTTATTAAATATAGTATATAATGTATAGCGTGTACTGTACATATAGTGTATACCCCCAGTCGACCCCCCTATAACACTGTTGATTATTCCGTTTTATATGAATTCCATGTTGTACGAGTCACTTAGATTTTACAAATACGTGTGCAGGCTGTGAACGGCTCATGCATTTGTAAAATCTAAGTGACTCGTACAACATAGAATTCATATAAAACAGAATAATCAACAGTGTTATAGGGGGGTCGACTTGTAATACACTTATATAATATAATCGCTTATAATGCTTGATGAATTATATAAAAGTTTTATAAGTGAACGTTTTTATAATAGAAAATGAAATAATATACGTATTTATTATAACAATACAATTGATATTTAAAAATAAATATATATATTTTTCCTGACATTGATTCGATTATTCATAATTATATTTATTTTCCTCCTCTAATGTAAAGCACTTATAACTAGCTATAGAATTGTAAATGAGTATATTATTTGTATGTATAACACTTATATAAATAACAAGTAAAAGTTTTCCTAGTTTATATAAAATATTTTTTAAAATTTTACTTTTAACAATATTTTTAAATATAAGGAAAATTTAACACCTAATTTCTTTGTCTGTTATATTTAATATACTTCTAAAGATAAATCTATTAAAAGATAAATTACGTAATAGTGAAATAAGATTTTATGCCTTTAGACTGCTTAATAAAAATTAGAAGATATGCTGTAAGAATAATCTTTTAACACGTATTTCAAATTACACCAGAGGCCGAGGAGATGAAACCACTAAATACTGGTAACTATTTGAAGTACAAAGTCGACCCCCCTATAACACTGTTGATTTTTCCGTTTTATATGAATTCCATGTTGTACGAATCACTTAGATTTTACAAATACGAGTGCACGGCTGTGAATGGCTCACGTATTTGTAAAATCTAAGTGACTCGTACAACATGGAATTCATATAAAACGGAATAATCAACAGTGTTATAGGGAGGTCGACTGTAATACGTCGCAATATGCAATTAGACGGATTCATTACGGATTTACAATATGCAATTCATTATGGCCACGGTGATTAGGATGATTAGGATTAGTGATAGGCTGCCATCCTAATCACTCTGGGAGATCCGGAGTAGAATTCGGACGAGTCGAGAAACTCCAGGAATTTTTTTGGGGGGTGGCCAGAAGTCGGACCTCATCTTTCACCACCTTTCTGCTCGATTGTGGGCCTGGTCAAATTCATAGTGGGCTTGGTAAAAATGTCCTCTTAATGTCCATTGGAAGTAAAGAGTTATCTACTCGACCATTGCTAAGCAAAACTATTCAGAAATGTCCAGAAAAATTAAGGAGTTGTGTGTTTTTATTGTAGTTCGTCTCTTTCTTCATGAGAAGTTTGCGCCTTTCATTGTAATTCGAATTGTTTTCATTCCCGCTAGATTAACTTTTCTGTTTATTTTCTCCCTGTGGGTTCTAAAAATCATGTTTTGATCCTACCCATTGCGAGTTCTGGAAGGCAAAAATGGATGGTCAAAAAGTGATGAAGGAGGAAACTGACTGTCCATGAAAAACTCCTGTGGTTGCTGGCTTGGATTCGATTCCGGATCACTCAAAGCGATAGAATGAAATCTTAATTACATCGGCCATTTAGCTTTAGAAGGGAGGTTTTCTTTTGCTCATTACTATTTTCAATTTGGTGTTTTTTGATACTTAGTTCGGAATTTTTTACTTTGAATGTTGTCAACTTATTGCTGATTAATTAAAAGAGATTACAGTTTTGTCTCTGTTTTTGCCTGTTTTTTGTCTTCAACTGTTTGCTGTTTGTATTTAATTGGACTTCAATTTGAAAAGAAAAATGTGTAGACCTATAAATTTCCACTGTCGTCCGTCTGCCTCTGTGTCTTTCCTTAATCTCGAAAACGGTGTTAGATAAATGACATTCAAGACCAGATATGGAAACCTTTATGGCAGGAGGCCTCTATTAACTATATAAGCATTTCCAGTTTTCTCCAGAAGTCACGCTATTTCAATTCAAAAAGTTTCTTTTGAAAGATTGTCTCATAATGTTGCATGTTGCAACGAGACAAATTTGGGGTGGACAATAGATATACAGGGAAATACCGTTTGTTCTGTTGATTACAATTACTTTATAAATTCGGCTTTCTCGTTTCAATTTGTGTTGTTGTTGTTTAATTATATAACAATTATAATACTTTTCTATTATTAATAATTTAATTGCATCTTGCTATTTTAATATAATATAGAATAGATTGGGGGAAAGTCACGTTCAATTAACATTTCACAGCACAGAAAGTATTGCAATATGCAGAGATTTCAATCAACTAGTTACATAAATTCTTTCTTCCTCATACAACGATAGTGAAGAAAATTTAAGGTGTTACACCATAAATTTGGCTTTCGAAAACCATCGATAATACGCATTTTCCTTGTATACGGGATAATATGCACTTTCCTCGTATACGAGATAATATGCACACAATCGTGCACAATTTTCTCCAACATAAACGAAGGAAGTATACGAAAGATGGTCTTACTAAAAGTGAAATTAAACACGTTTGTACGTTTGTGGGAGTTGTCTTACACGTAAGAAAAAGAAAGACATTTTGTGAAAGAACCTCTTTTATGTAAATTAACTCTCTTTTCTAAAGGCAGATTCTTCGAAGAGATTCCCATGAGGTCTTTTTATAGGAAAATGGCTCCTATTTAAGTGTTACTAACATGAAGAAAACCTGGTAAACGCCACGTGGCTAGCCCATTGGCGAGGCGCGAAACAACAACTGTCAGTGTTTAATGATTTTATTCGCTTGGCCTCTAGTAGGCCTTTAAATATGATTGTAATTTGTAACTGAGCGTCGTATGACCGACATGGCTATCACAAAAGATCATACTTTATACAGAATGACATCTAACCTTGATACGTGACTTCTTTCCCAAAATTTACTCTATATATAAATTATATATACATAAATAGATTGATTGAAATGATTTGAAATACTCGGAAACAATTCTTGATAAGGAAATTTCTATTGAAGAAATAAATACAAAAATTAAGTCATATATATAACCTTGAAAATCTTCGGACATTACAAAATTAAAAATTTATTAAAATCTTATCTGAACGTGTGCGATCTGCCGAGGAAAAATGCCTCCTGGAAGGTCTATTATGTAAACTGAGCCCTGTTTAGGTGGTAATTACTAACGATACTCTGAATGTTAGCATGATGTCGGATACCTGAGAGAGGATGACTGTTGTATGCATAGCCCTTTAAATAATCCTTTAAATAATTACTAACGATACTCTGAATGTTAGCATGATGTCGGATACCTGAGAGAGGATGACTGTTGTATGCATAGCCCTTTAAATAATCCCACAAAAAGTGTATGTTTTTGTGAGGTTACTTGAAGGGCTGTACATACAACTGTGGGATGTGGATACAACAAAGGGCTGTGAATACAAGGGACAAGTGGGTTCAAGTTGGGCGATATAGGAGACCACAGCAATTTTAGTGAACCAGATAAGACATTGAAACTATTGGCGTGTAGGTTGTGAAACCCTGTTTTGTAAAATCTGTTTAGATGGAATGCCACAAATTGTTTGCATCACGCTAACGTTAACGAATAATGCATGAAACAGCGAATAGGCACGCTGAATATTCACTGTTTCATGAAAAATTTTGATAAACAGTTGTCGGAATATGGTGCAACACATACCAAGCTTCTCAGCGTGTAGAGGAGATTCCTGCAACACGTGTGAGTTTTCTACGCACGAAATGCACTATTCTGGAAGCAAACTTCGTTCATCCAGTGTCAATTATCCAATTCCTCGTCGGCTGGTGTCACCAAATCCATAAACCATGTCGTACGTAGAAAATTCGGTATTGCGCCTACATATGGTGAAAGGTTCAACATAAAGTTTTAAACAATATTAATCTTTCTAAAGCTTGTCACAGATTCTTCTTCATAAACTTCCTTCCCTATAAATTTCATAATAAAAAAAAACCAGTATGCATCGAGAATACTTAACTTACGCCTTATACATATTTATGTTATAGTATTATGTGTATAGATCGTGTAAAACAGCTTGTTTAAAACTATATATTTTAAAATATAAGATAGAAGGACCTTCATGTACTGTACATTATTTTGTATGCTAAAATTTGGTAGTTACTGTATGTTCTTTATGTTAGCAACATCAGTACATAAGTCGGATGGCAATTAAATGCCAATACTGTGAAACCCTTAATTAACACATCAGAGCCAACACTGTACCAATATCTTCACCATTGTTCATTGGCAACATAGTACTTATGTCGATTGAAATTGTTGGCTTAACGTTAACATTAATCGATAGCCCATTGTTGTTAGCAATGTCGATAAGGGTCTGGTTATGCTGGGCCAGTGTTAAAACTCAATTATAAATCGATTTCGTTTCCACAGTAGATTACCAACATTAGACTAGTTTTCGACTTGGACCAACGCAGATTTCTATTTGGATAATGACAATATACCAAGCTACCAAGCGTTTTCGGGTTCCTGATTGCAACTTATGGACAATATTAGATTTCGGGGGCAACTTGCGTTTGAATGCTTTGTGGAAACTCGCGACAAATATGCCACTCTTCTCAGACAATAATTTCCTGTA